CTATAAAAGTTAGTGGTTGGCACTTTAGAAATAATTCTTTTTTTGTAGAAATAATGACTTTTAGAAATAAAATGTGGACTGTTTTTATACATTCATTATGTTGGAATTGAAACACAGAAGCTATTAAGAGATTTAGGATAAAGGAAGCAAGGAGGACATGTTCAGAATAAAATCAGTGTTTGTAGAATAGAAAAACTGCAATTTTTCAAGGGACATCTTTGGAAGAAAATTAATAGGACAAAACGACTAATTGAGTTGCCAAGTAATAGAGAGAGCAATAAGACATTTCCAAAGCTTTTACAGGAGCTATCATTATGATGATACTCTTGAATGTTTGGGAACAAGAGGAAGAGCATTTCTTCTTAGTGAATAAGCTCAGATAACAACAGATACCTCTGACCATCTGAGTTCCAGTTCTAGTGGCCTATGTGGGAAAGTACTACTGTGAAAGAAACTCCCCCATACCTAGTCTTGGACAAAATGGCAGTTAATTATTATCTCTTACTCATCTGTATGATACCTGGGCTGAACTGGGCACTGCTATCAAGAGATGGAATTGGGGCTGAGGTTAGATGATGGCTTGGGATGATAGATGTTCAAGATGACTTCCTCATGGTCATTGGCCTCCAATAGCTAAGGACATAGGCTTTGAGTCCTTATAGGACCTGGAATTGGAATAGGATAGCTTCCCCAATCTTTATTAGTTATATGGTCCCAGGTCAACTCAAACTCCAGCTAAAGAAACACACACTCTACTTCTCAGCACTGGAGTACCAGTAAATGTGTCTCTAGCTTATAGTTGCCACACGACTTTGAAGACCCACATTCAGAGATGTTTAGGAGACAATTAAGAATACTAGTCTGGGTCTCCTGAAAGTAATCAGAAGGAGAAATGTGAATGCAGATATTATCAAGGGAAGATTAGCAGTCAAAAGCGCAGGATAAAGTCAAGAAGTTATAAACAATAAAAAGATAGCATTATGAAAGAAACTGATGCAAGGGAGAAAACAAAGCAGAGAAGCAAGGGACAGGGAACAAGTCTCTGAATGTAGGAGAGGTCAAAATGTCAGAAATGGGTGCAAACCAGTGCTGCCTAGATGTTGGAAAGGATGACTTACAAAGGAATGTTCAGTAGACATCAGTAACTTCTTAGTACACATCAGCAGTAGCCTTAACAAAGCAATACTCCATGAGACCGAGGTCAGTAAAGGAGGGCACAGTATAATACTGCCCTTCTGGGAGGATCTGGTATCAACTGGGCACAGAGGCAGGGAATGGATTCCTGTTTGTTTTATTTGCCTCTTTGTTAGGTGCCGTGGAATGATCAGCGGAAGAGCAGAAAACAGGAGGAAGGAGATAAGTGGACTTGATTAGTGTAGGGGAAATCTAGCTTCTGAAAGACTGCGGGTGGGAAATGGAGTAGAGGAGGAGACAGGGAGCAAAAGCAAAGCAAGGTTGGTGCGTTTGATATGGTAGAGGGAGGAGGGAACTAGAATAAGTCTTCAACTTTCTGGAACATGGAGTTAAGGCATTCTACTCTGACAGTGGTCCTGGATTTCCCATTCTGGTCCACCCACACTCTTCTCTGAGAAGTCTCTTCACTGTCTCTGCTGCGAAGATGTAAACCCAACCCCTGTTACTGAACCCTTTCCCAGGGAGCATTTGTTGATTCAGACAGGAAGAAAGAGGGTGGCTTCCTTCTCAGAACATCTGTAGAACATTTCTTTAACTTCTAATTCCATGCTTTGATTGTCTCATGCATTATATTTGATGGTATTTCTTTTTTCTTTCCAAACTTTGTGTACAATAAAAATAAAACATAACAGAACAAAACGATGATGGGTTTAGAACTTCTGTCTTGCTTACACAGAACTGGAGGGCTCTAAAGAACTTAAGATGAGAAATTTGTAAGAAAGTTTTGCTTATCTGTTTGCATTATATTTTCTTTATTATTTCAGTTCTAATTGTTGATTAAAAAATGAAAATAAAATTTAAATAATGTTAAACATTAGGGATTTATAATTATTTATCATTTATAGCATAATTTATAAGGAGAAAGAAAGTAGTTGCCAGCAAGAAAGGACAGCATATAGTCACTAGCTCTGAAGAAATTAAAAAAAAAAAAGCAGGACTAGTCACACTAAATTATTATCAAACCCACATCTAGCTGCATATGAAATATTACAGATTATCTTTCCCCTATTACTTTTCAAGTTGATTTTGCTTTAGAGTTAAATTAATTTTTAAGACAATCTGAAGATTTTATGTAAAGTTATTTTCAGATAATATGTTTCCTTCATAAAGATATAGAAATTATTTGACAGGAAAATTGTATGAATTTAGAGTTGATTTTGTGAATCTGGTCATTTAAGCCAAATAGTGTAATAAAAATAAAGGGCTGAATAAATTAGTTTATTATAGCACAGGAAAATATGACACTGCCATATATAGTAGGCCGCCTTCTATCAGTGGATAAAATATGAAAAGCTAGCATAGCCCTTTGCTACCCAGAACAAGATTTTAATTTTTATATCTTCACCATAAATATTGCACACTATATGGAATTAACGAGTATCCCTTTTTATGGCAAACTGACCAAACCTTGGAGAGGGAGGAAGGGTGCCTTAATTTTTGTGCTCCTAAGTTTGCTATACCTTGAATAGATGCGGGATAAATAAGTGAATGAAAAAATGAAGAAGTAAGTTTTATTATCAACTGGGTTATGGGTATCCCATGTATAATGTTTATAATTTATAATTATCACCGAATTACTATACTTAAGGCATGAAACTTACACAGTATACTAGAATGACTAGGAAACCTCAGCTGCTGAAGGGGCTGTTAGAGACTGTGATAGAAATACATGAAAGATTTTCCAATCGTCTGGTAGAAAAAGAAATATTGAATGTTTTGATATATATATTAACATACATATATGTTCATCTTTGCTATAATCAGGAAGGAGACGGTGCACTAAAGTTGTTAGATGGAGGTTCTCAGGAGACAACATCCTTCTCTCTAACTTTTAGAAAACACAGTTTTGTACATAAGGAGAAGGTTGTTGGGAGGTTGCAAAACGAGCAGTAAGTAATTTTACTTGAAAATTTAATTTCCGTCACAGCTCTAAGAGACATAGCAAAATAATGTAGATATTTTTAAAAAGTATATTATTTTGTATCATAAGGTAAGTACAATATCTTAGAAATGGAATATTTCATTCTCCTTAGTCATTAAAATGGACTAATTGCTTCATTTGACTTTACCCAATAGATGGATTTATGGTGCCTAGCTCAGAATATTCTCATGCATGCTACTCACTTCTCTTTCAGGGTTTAGAGTTCTCACTAATTATGTTGTAAATTGACTGCTGAGGACACTCTATGATTCTATAGGTGGTGTCCAGTCTCTTAGTATTGTGATGTTAAAGAAGATGAAAGGGTCACAACCCCCAGAGGCATTAAATCTGAACAATAATAGTTAAAACTTGTGACTGATATTTAGGCAGTTTTGTACTCCAACATACAACAACAAACATTATCAGCTCTACCGACTTTGTTCCTGGATTTGGAAAACAAAGGAGATCACAAAGAGAAAAAGTGATACAAAGCCACAAAAACTGGACTTCAGAAACGCTCAGTCACCACTTAGCAGACTGCTGTGTTACTAAAACATAACAGGAAGTCTCATCAGCATTTAAACAACAGGACTGCACAGGACCCTAGCCGGGCATCCTGCAGAATCTACATCACATCTATTCTAAACAAAATGCATAAAGAGGAAATGTATGTTGGCATACATTATTAGTTATTATTGATTATATGATGTTTTTCCATGATGCTGAGATTGAATCCTGGGTTTTATACAAACGAATCAAGTAGTATTCAGCTGTGCTATAAAAACCCCAGACCTGACACATCAATTTTTTAAGCATTTTGCTTACAAGCAGGGATTCAGAGGTGTGCATTGGCTATTGCCAATGACTTTCTGATGGACCTGGGAGACTGCTGCTGTCTCTCTTTAACTGGCATCTGTCACCCTGCACTGCTACAGACCCTCACCCTTCTGCCCGACTTCAGAAAGCTGAAGCTTTGGGTGGGTATCTCCAATTTTGCTGTCTGAAAAATTGCAGGCGAAAAAAAAAAGCCAGTAAATGACTACATCAAAAGAGTCCATGTATATCAGTTATGTGCTTGATCAGGAGGTTCCTCTAATCTTATTTTAGACAAAGCATTTGAGAAGATAAGATGGGGGGGGGTCTTGAATACAATTACTCAACCCAGGCAGCCTTGATCCCACATCAAGGTTAGAAGTTCAGTGAGTTTCCATTGGTGGCGTTATTATATAAATTAATGCCATTCAGAATTACTTTAACTTGCACAGCTGACTGGAGAGTTGTGTGACTAAGCTTCCAAATTGGCATCCACAGCACATTTGGAGGAGCTGCCTTATCTCTCCAGCACTTCCTTCTCCCCACCTCACTTCCTGTCATTATCACCATCAATTTCATCACCGGCCATAGAAGTTTCTCCTTCAAAATCAAAAGCCCTTGGAGGATAGTTCTGCTTAAAGCCATAGGTCACTAAATGTATGGAAGAGTATCATGAGTCCTTTTCATTTCCATTTTGATTAAGTGAAAGCCTCTTAATTTGGGTCATAATTGATACATAAATCTGTAGAGAAAATGAACATGCATTTATAATGTAACCAACATTACAAGATTTATTGGTCTTATAATGTGTAAATACAGAAAGAAAGGGGAAGAATAAAAGAGTCCAGCTCTCAGATCCCTGGATATGAAACAGTGCCAGGGACTAATGGATCAAACTCATCCTGAACGTCCAGGCTCCTGCTCTCAAAGGCTCATGTCTCCTCATTGCAATCGAACTCCGCCTCCTATTTGAAATGCCGTCTAACATTAATCTGTCTATGCTATTCAACTGCCCTTTTAGGTGGAAGGTTTGTGAGTGAGAAAATGAAAGGCTCAAAATGGATTTCCATACCTGATTGTGGACTTTGTTTGGGGATTTTGGCTACCGCTTGAGGGCTGGAGGTGGAGTGCGTTCGTTGGTTGGCAGAGCTGTGGATGCTGCTGGGAACCACGGATGACGCATTCTTTCGAGGCTTCATGTCTTGTAGCCACATGGGTGAGGCTTCAAAGGCCTGCATTCTCCGCGCATGGCTGTTGGCATTGACTTTCAGGTAGGCCTGGGCCTTGTGTTCCTGTAGCTCCCCGTAGTTGGCATCGGTCACCCTGCACTCGTATAAGCCTTCGTCCTTTTTCCTCACCTTGGAAATCTGAAGCTTGTGGGAGATGTCATTGCCTTGGACTTTCACTGTCTGAAAAATTGCAGGGGGAAAAGCGACGTTTTACATTGAAGGATTTTATTCGTACTCTCTCAAGCTTGCTAATGTTAGGAGTAAAGGGTCTGCATGGCACAAATCTGAAGTCTCATCCACAGACTTGGGAGGTCAGAAGCTCAGTTTAAGGCAGTGTCTCAGTGGCCCTGCTGTCCACACTTCCCAAATTCTCATAGAAGCCCTGTTAGTTTTTCAACATGGGATTGGCATCTGCCTGGTTAACACAGCTGAATGAACATTGAGTAAAGATTTCTGGAATAGACACCCCCCCCCTTTTTTGGTATGGCTATAATACAATTCCTTTAAATCCAGGACCAAAAAAAATGTTAGTAACTTGGATAGTAATGTTTTTCTTCTCAGTTGCCTATTAACGGAGCATTGCAGGGCTCAGGCTACAGTGAAACAGCATCTTAAATCAAGGCTCATTGTATATGCCCGTGTCATTATACAAACTTGGGATGCTATTGATTGAACATTGATTTGCTTTTCAAGATTGAAGTCAACATTATTTATTTTAGTTACTTTATCCCAGATTAATAGCAAGCTCACATGTCTAATATTAAGTATATATTATGTAATCCATGTGGCATATATATATATATATATCAGTTAAATTGGTATATATCATATGTCAATCTGTGATTGACAGACTGAAAGATGACTTAAATCTATCAGGTTAAGGATTTTATTAAACATATAAACACAGAAATGAAGGGTGATGAAGAAGGATATTCTAGCTCTGGCCATTGTAATTATTACAAAGTAGCCTCCTCTTCATATTATCAGTAGGTCAGTCTGGCCTAACAGCAAGTGTAGATTTATATCTGCTTTGGTTTCATATTTTTGTGATTTATTTGAATACTAGATTTATAAGTACTTTATTTGAATTATGATTGATATCCAAATTGAGTCATATTTTTACTACTTTCAAAAATTCTATTGGAAGGCTTAGTTTCTGTTTTCCAAATTTTTTCTACTAAGAGTAGATACTCCCATTACTTTGAATTATTAGCATTATTAATATTGAAGCATTGCAGACCTTCATTGCTACACTTAGGTGACTGCAAAAAAGATTAGGAAAAACAGTGCAATAATCCCATTAGCTAGCAGATTCATATCCTAGCCAATTTGGAATTATTTACATAATTAAAACGTGCAATTTTATTCATGGATTCTAAATTTAGCTCAGTTTCACGAGGTAAAAAGCACAACTGCCTCTCATCTAGAATTTATAAAATTACCTTTTCAGGCTCAGTGACTTAAAAGGTTTTAAATCTAAAATCTTTTTTCTATTAATGTTCACCTTGGGCCTTTTTGGCCATTTATACTGCATGATCTCCCCCTGTCCCTTGTCCCTATGACACTCACACTTATCTTGGTCCCGTCGTTGTCCGGGTCTCTGTCGGGTAAGAGCTCCACCTGTAGGACAAGAGTGCAAATGCTCATTCGTGTTCCCCAGTCCCGGGCGCCACGATACCGCAGCAGCGCAACCACCAGGAGAGATCCCAGTCTTCTGGTCTTGAAACGTTTCAGTCAAAGCAATTTAAGAGCCAAAAAGAAGCACGACCGAGGTCTCTACCGCAGTCAGTACTGAGGCCAGGCTGGATTGCTTCCCTCGCTCCTCCCTGAAGTTCCCCTCTCCCCTTGTCGGATTCCAAGCAGTCCCTGGGGTATCCATGTCTTCCACGAATATTACTGTGATCTTGGCTCTCCTAGAGAATCCCTAAGGTCCCTGTGGTTCCCACTCTCCAAGCGACACCCTGGAGAGTTCCTGTGGTCCCCAAGCATTCCTATGCTCACCACGGTTCCCATTGTCGCCAAGCGTCCCTGAGGTATCTCTATCCCTGAGGTCTTCTCTATCCTAGCGACACCCTGGAGAGTCCCTGTGGTCCCTGCAGCCCCGCAGGCTGTGCTCCCCGCTGGCTGCCCCAGGCTATAATCGTTGCGAAGATAGGTCTTCTCCCTCTCAGTTCAGTCTGCCCTGTCCGCAGGCTCGGGGAAGGGTAGGGACAGGCGCAAACCCAGGCTAGGGCAGGACTGTGGCAGGAAGTTTCCCCGACAAATTTCTGCATCTCTGCCCTCGTTGTTGACCAGTACCCAGGTTCTTTTCAACAGACTTTGTCGTTTCTGTCCTCTAGGTCTCAAGCCCGAGTCCTCTTTTGCTCCGTGGATCCCTCTTTACCACTCTCAGGGCGCTACTCTTTTAGCTTCTTTCCGCTTTCCTTCTCTTCTTGCTTTCTCCCTTCTAGCTGGCTCATCGCCTGCTCTACTTTCATCGCCAGTCCAGGGTCTCTCCCTGTTTTTCTGATGCCTACCCCCATTTCTCCCTCTCCTCATTTTTCTCTCCCTCTCTCCTTCCTTTCCTCTGTCCTGCCTGCCCTCTCTCGCTCCTTCCCTGCCCTTCGCCTCTGTGTGTGTGTGTGTGTGCGTGTGTGCGTGTGTGTGTGTGTGTGTGTGTGTGTGAGTGTGTGTGTGAGAGAGAGGGGCGGGAGGAAAGAGGCAAAGAGGGGAAGAAGAGGGGAGGAGAGGAAAGAGAGGAAAAGGGGGAAGAGAGGGAGAGGAAAGGAGGGGCGAGGGGGAGGGGAGAGGGAGGAAGGAGGGGAGAGGGAGAGAGAGAGAGGGAGGGATGGAGGAAGGGAGAGAGAGAGAGAGAGAGAGAGAGAGAGAGAGAGAGAGAGAGAGAAAGAAAGCGCTAGAAGAGGGATGACTGTATGATTCCCCTTACCCTTGATATCGGCGCGGGGGGGCCGGGGGGAAGGGAACAGAAGGAAGGCTGGTGAAGGGTGCCCTGATCTGTACCAGAGATACATTGCCAGTTTGAACAATTCCATAGCACCGGGTATTAAGAGCTGGTTAATTCCGGTCTAAATCGGAAAAGTACCCTGCTAGTGTGACTTCCTAGGTGCTTTTAACTTACTGTAACCAGGACAAATTCAGCCTTGCTCACTCTTAAAGATCAGGGAAAGCTCCCTTGGACTCCTGGGCCCTGGAGCTGGGGAGAAATGCACAGAACTAAGAAACCAGCGTGCAGGGGCTCTGTGGGCTTTACGTCATGGCTACCTGAGAGCCGGCCGCCTCGGTTCCATGCTCCAGGTCCTCTGGTCCCCGAAGGAACCACCACTGGATCTCCAGGTACACTGAAGCGGAGCCGCTTTGGAATGCACAGGACATCTCCACATTTTGTCCCTCGGTCGCAGTCACGTTCCGCGGAAGCTCGGTAAATTTTGCTGCAAGACAGAAACGCATCATTTTGGCGTATCTATATATACCAGCTTTGCCAATGTATCTTTCCTGGAGAACTCGACACAAGTTTTTGTTTGTTTGGCCTTTTTCGTGGGTCTTGAAAGGTGAAAATAAAAACAGCAACAACAACCCTTCCGACATCTCAGCAGGGCTCTCTGTCCCCCATTGCTTTGCCTCTGAGTGCCTTGTTCTTGGTATCATGCCTACATCACTTTGTTGTTGATCAAGTGCAGATAATGGAAAGGTTAACGAGCTTGCCAATAGCTCTGCTCTGCTAGCCAAGTTGCCCAGAGTTAGAGCCAAGCATCTTTTGTCAGATTGCAGCATTGCCTAAAACTTACTGAGAGATCCAGGGAGGTTCAATTTAGACCGTCTTTCCAGTTCATATACCAGAAAGCCTCTGGATTTTTAAGTTTCTAAACCATCTATGATTAACCGGGGTGCTTCATGTTAGAAATGGGTTGTAAGTATATGGCAAAACCCACATTCTTAATCTGTCAGAATAGTGGTTAGAAATTTTGTTCTGGAGCCCAAGTAGGGAAACAAGTTGCACACTACCTAAGAGGCGTATGGTTTCATCTCTGCAAGTTAACCTTCACGTTTTTTCCTTTCAAGGCATATAAATTGACATATGTCAGGGGACAGAAAAATCCTACATCCATGTTTACCTCAGGTCAAAGATTATTTGAAAGACACTATAGAGACTCTGTCTAACCCTTTTGCTAACCTTGACACTGCCAGCTTGTAAGATTAATAGATCCGTGTGGAAGCCATAAAAATAAAACGCCCCCTCCTCCTTAGGGCATTCCTTGAACATGGGATGATGTTGTTCTTGCTAACTAGAAGATTGTTCTTAGCCTGTCTAAGGGGCACTTTGCAAAGAGCTGATGGTTCTCTAGAAGGAGCCTTCTATTTGTGGTTGATAGAAGGGTGCAACCCAAGGCACACATACGAAAGGAGGGTTGCTGAAAGGATGACAGGGATAATTTCAGCCACTTTCTCTTCATTACTTAAAGACAGTGGATCTGGATGTCTCTTTTCACTATTTCATGGAATCCCAAAGGGGACAGATTATGTTTCAAGGAAATAGACACTATCAGAAGGCAGCCTATCTGAATAGGGTTTTCCGCTCACATCGGCCAGCAAAGTGGGGTTATTTCTGCTCACAGAAGTGATGCAGTCTTCAGGAGGCCAAAACAGGGATATGCTCCTGGTGCTGAAGCAACCACTGCAGCCTGCAAAGTCCTGAACAACTGGGCCCAGCAGGCAGCTGCTGCTTGTGATGCAATTAGGACCTCCTTGTGGACTCTGGTAAATAGGCATGGGAAAGAAGTCACAGCTACCAGAGAAGGGGACTAAAGCTTTTTGCCTACAGAGAAGCCCCTTCCAACCAGCAGCTCTGCATTAGTAATGACTGTATGTGCATGAGTGATTGCCCTGTTCGTGCACATGGAACACACACACACACACACACACACACACACACACACACACACACACACCTGTGTATGTGCTCACCGAGGAACTCACCCCATTGCCAGTCTGGCGTCTATCAGATTATCTTTGAAATCTGGTTAGCTTGTGATTTAATAAACTTTGAAGGAAATTAAAGAAAAAAAAAGCCAAACTGAACACTATTCATACTACCTAAACCTACTGTTGGCGTGCTTTGAGCCACTCTCAAGCCGTCTGTCCATTCTTCTAGTTGGTCCAACACACACACACACACACACACAGCACCACATGCACACTACAAGCAATGGACTTACCTTGAGAAGAAAGCCCTTGTTGTACATATAACACGGAAATGAACACAAATCCAACAGACGCCAAAAAGATCCCCATCATGCCAAGGGAGGGAGGCACATCCGTGTAGCCAAGAGCCCCAAAACCTGAAAAGACAGGCAAGCAAGCTTGTTCACGGGCTGCTTTCAGAACCCGGGGCACGACACTGCATGCATGCTGCCGCTCTCGGCGTAGATTGGCTTGGACACAGGGGATTGCGACTGGCGAGGGTTGGACCAAGCTGGCTGGGATCCGGAGGCTTCAGGCGCAGACCCGGGCTGCCACGCTGCGAAGTGTCTCCGCCGGCGGCTGGCTGCTTCCGCTACCTGGCAGCTCGTCCCACGTCAGCCGCTCGGCTTGCGTGCTCGCCGCCCTCCCCAC